ATTATGTTTTTGTTGAAAAATGCCAATTCATCACAAGTGAAACTGTCTGTACAACAGGGTCAGGTTTACCAAATTTTCTGACTGGAAAAAAGGTTGAGATATTTCTGGTATTACACAACTTTTTGTTTAAAAATTTAAACTAATTGGTCTGGGGGAAAAAGTGAATCAAAGAAAAAACAGCCAAACCGAAAATGAAATATATAGAAATTATCAAAACAAAACATTTTGATTGCCTCAAAATAAAACTGATTTTTCAGGTTTTGAATATTTTCAAGATTTCGAGTTTTCATCCTGATTCATTATAGGAAAAAATGTCTAACTCTTGAAAATATTCACGGGAAAACTATTTCTCATCCAGCTCTATTGATTAACTTTAGTTTGAAATTTGACCACCTGTTCATTTTGACCACCATCCTTTTCACTTGATATTTCCAAACAAAGGTGTGTAAATGTGTTTTTGTTTGTGCACATTTTTAGGAAATTGCTAGTCTGTAAATAAATACTGAACTAATATGCAAAGAAGGGTATGTGAGAGTACACCCAAGTATTTGGTAATTGCTATTTGTAATTCTCCTATTCAAAAAGTTCCAGTCAAACAATCAGTGAACAGAAACTGTACCATGTGAATCTCACTAAAAGTCGAGGGAATTTAAACTTCTAAGTGCCTAAATCACTTCTGAGCATCTAAGTCACTTTGGTACTTCTGAAAATTGTTCCCAAAGTGAACAATTTGCAAACACCCATAGACTGAAATTAAGTTGTTTGTCAAACATTTAATGAAAATAAATAAATGTATTAAAACACAAAGTCTTCAAAGTGCTTTACAACCATTAATTCATTAACTGCATCAACTGTAAACCCAGTTGTGAGGGAGATGAACATTATTATCCCTCTTTTGCAGATAGGGAAATTGAGGCACAGAGGGTTAAGTAGCTTCCCTGAAGTGTAACAAAAAGAGTTAGTGTCGGAGTCAGGAGTAAAAGTAAGGGGGTTTTGGCTCCCATTTGTTCCTGTGTTCAAACCAAACTCTCTTTCAAAAGTGGATCCCATTGACAAGGTCTGGGAAGAAGGAGCTAAATCAATACAAATACTGTATCTCTGAATAATTAGCCAATGTGGGAAAGGGGAAAATGTCCTAACAAAAGTGAAAGCTCAGTACTTTCAGTTTGACACATTTCAAAGTTTCTTTCATTAGGAAAGCCCGGCTGTAATCTGAAAAGACAGGGATTTTTAATTCAAGATGAAACATTGCGCCTTCCACTGAGCACTACTTAATGGCAAGCTACTATGCATACTATATTCCTGCAAAAACTAATTCAGATTGTTCCTAATCATGTTTCTCATCTTGGATTTACCGTTGATTTCATTATTGTAAGAAACATCTCCTCCTCCTCCTTATATTTTAGCTTATTTTATTCACTACCTCCTACTTCTTCATTTTCCCTTTTTTCCCTAACACCAAGGAGAATATATGTTCATTTCACTATAGGCTTTTCCGTGGCAGAACCCAGCCAGTATTAACCACTGATTAGGCAGTCAGTGCCAGCTCAGTCAAAGAAAACCTCTCTTTGGATTTCCTTTGCCGTCAGAGGGGCCCCCTTGGCTATCAGATTATAAAGATTATAAACCTTGGGTTTCTCAGTCCAATCGGTTTAGTCAGTATTCAGCCCTATTTACTGCTGCAGCAGCAAATAAGCAGTTGAAGACAATGCCTGTAAAGGAACCTAAATTATTTTAATCTAATGCAAATTTTGTGAGCTCTAATGAAGTTGTATTGTTCAATTATGCTGCTTCTAGTTGCTAGTGAACATGCGCTGGCTGGTGAGTCGGTACACACTGCTTTTGAGGTTCATTGAAAAGCAGAAAACTTAATGAAGGAAACTTTGCCGGACAGCTCATTTTGGCACATGAAGTAGCCACAACTCTACTTCTAGAGGGGGCAGCATGGGCTCAAAAGTGTGTGACACAGCCAGAAAAAGGTGTGTGGTGAGGCTGACCAGAGAGAGCACTGACTTGAGTGGCTCTATTCCAAAGCTTTCACTGGCAAAGCTTATAGGGCAGAGATTCTCAAATCTCCCCTACTGTTATAGGGAACCTTGGGAAAATGAAATGTGGCCTCCCACAGTACTCTGACACAGGGCAGAGACAGGGTCATTGCCTGTCCTCCCGAAGGATGAGTATCCTCTCATGAGCAATGGGCTTGGCTGGAGCAGGGGCATTCTGAGGGGTTGTATTTCACACCTCCTCACATCAGCTTTACTGAATCAGGCTCAAAGCCTCTTGCAAACACACACCCACAAACCGCCACCCAAGCACAGCTGCTAAAATTAAGGGGAAAATGGCACCTAATATTTAAACATAATAGATTCTGGCTTGATGAGAACGGAAGGCATTTCTGGTGCTTCTTATCACTCCCCTGATTAGCAAGAATGTTTAATAGTACACTGATAGAAATAGCAGAAATCGTTCTCCTATAAGGAAGGCAGTACATAAGCCAAAGGATAATGTTTGAGGACAGTACTTAGAAATGTTTTTGTTAACAAGCCACTTTTGTTTTACAGAAAACAACCAAACCAAACCCAAGGAACCAAACAAAAACAAAACAAAACACATGCATGGCAAAGGTTTTCAAAAGTGACCAGTGATTCCGGATGACCCAACGCTTAGATGCCCAACCGGACACGCCTTAAAAAAGTTCCTGAGTCCTGCATTTCAGAGAGTGCTGCACACCTGCACTCTGAAAATCAGGCCCCTTTTTAAAGTTGGGCACCTAAAGTTAGGTTGGTCACCTAAACTTTGAGTCACCCAAAGTCAAGGGTCACTTTTCAAAATCTTGCACTTTTTTTGTGTCACATCTGAAAATCTTAACCGGATTTCAGATAATTGTTTCAAAGTATGAATAGCTAACCCATTATTGAAGCCTCAATTGTGCGGAGATGAAATGATGAAGATAAATTTTACAGAGTGTGTAGAGTATCTGCTAAGGTACTGAGATCCTTAAAGCCAAGACAGGATATGAGCTGCATTAAGTTGCAAGAAAGAGCTACGTTTATCCCCTTGTTTTGCTGCAGAGAGGGCCTTCAATTATTTACTATGAAATGCAGAGCCTGCACTTAGGCTGCAGTCTCTAAAAATCAGTTTTGTAATATTTATCATGACTTCAAAGCACATTGGCACACATACACTGATGCTCACTCTGTTTGCAAAATTAAGCAGTGTGGGTCTTATAAAGCAGCAGCTCCGCTGGCTTCTCCAAAGGGATTTCAAAGATGCGTGCTATGGAAGTTCAGTGTGCCAGTGTATTCACAGTGAAGGGAAAGATGACCTCGTGGCAAAAAGGAAAGGTCAGTGACCGAGTTCACAAACCAGTAAAGAGATTGCTCACACATGCATGGTTTAAACAATAAGTGATGCGTGGTTAATTAAATGCACAGAAGTTCTAACAAGTCTCCCACAGACAGATGGGAAATACCCATTGATCATAACTGTCCCCACCTTTTCCAAATTCAAAAATAAATAAATAACCCGCTCTTATCTGACCAGTTCTTGGACTGCGTTTTGCACCAACAGTAGAGACAGCGAATGTGAACAATGCTCATGCAGCACTTTTCTCAGTGCTCATGCAGCACCATGAGACCCCTTCCATACCGTCCCCTAAACCCTCCCTATCCCACTATGCCAGGCAGCCACCCCCTCTCCGTTCAAATCGGTCCTGACAACTCGCTTCTCCGAGGAGGCCCATAAATGCTAATCTCGGCCAGTGAAAGCTGTCAGCACACCATTATGAAAAAGTTCTGAGGACCCTATTCTGTCACCCTGACTCACACCGAGCAGCCTTTACTCTGCGAGCAGCCTTACTGATTCCCGTGGGACAAGTAGCCAAGTGAAGTACTACTCAACACGAGTAAGGGTGGCAAATCTTGAATTAGCACCGTCATCTGGATCTCTCCGTGCATACTTGTATTATTTAAGCTGCAAACTTCTCAGGGCTGGGACAGTGTCTCCATTGTGTCTTGTATTGTTATAATGCCTAACAAGCTGCTCGTACTTAAAGAATTGATACGAAATAAATAAATAAATAATGGCAGAGTCATAGTGATAGATGATGTGGTTTCTTGGAATCTTTTTAGCACAATGGCACAATCCTATTAGGAAATTTGTTCTCCTGGCCACTCCAGTGATTTCTCTCTTGCTGTAAATATATCTCAGTGCTTTTTAAAAATACCTGTCAGTAACATTTTCCAAAGCGCCTAAGTCCCATTTTCAAAAAATTGACTTAAGGCCAGCTTTTTTAAAGGTGTTTAGGCACCCTGATATTAATGGGAGTTAGGCACCTAAATACTTTTTTAAATCAGTGCCTTAGGCACCTAGCAGTCAATGTCTCAATTAAAGTCAATGGGACTTAGGCTCTTAAATGCCTAAGTCACTCACTTTGGAAAATGTTCCCCTAAGTTACTTGAAAACGTTCCACTATCTATTTTGACAAACAGTGATAGACATAGAAATCATACACAGAAAAAAGTAAGCCTGATGGATTATTTTTCCCCCTTCCAAAACATACAGAAAGCACAGCAAAGCAGAATATACACAGACACACTTTTAAACAAAACCAAATCAACCTTGAACTAAAATGTCTAGCAAGGTATAAGAACATATTTGTATGTTGGTGCTTTGCAAAAGTTCCTGCCTGTCAGAATGAAGCACAGGTTGAACCATCTTCAGGAGGGCAAGACTTATTTTTCTGTCAGCATTCAGAGAAAGGTTAATAGCAGCCTCAAAGAGTTGCTCCTGTCTGTTACTAAACATGTCTCCGGTTACATGTAATACGTTAATGCAAAAGCCAATGTGTTGTTACGTTCCTGAAATAAAGCACTGTTAGGAACAAACTATCCCAGACTGCGAAAAAGAGAAAGAGATTGTAATTGTGGAATTAAGCATGCCAGCTGCTGTCGGAGAGCTTAGAAGCGCCAGGTGAGGAAGTGCATTGAGCAAGACCTTACCTGTTCCAGGTAGCATTGGAGCAGGCCCGTCGCTGCTGGGTCCCCCGCTCATCCAAGGCTGCCTGCTCTCTCTTGCCCAGATCACTGAGGCTGGGCGAACTCATGAACTTCAACCTGCGAAGAGTCCTCATGGTCAAATGTGTGTTTGTGCGTGGCAGCTACAGATACACCATCCTTTTTACACACACACACACGCAGCTGGAGCAGCAGCAGCAGCAATGCGAGCAGTTCTCTCCGTTTGTTGTTCAAAAAAGAAACTTAAAAAAAAAAGAAGAGAGAACCAGTCTCTACAGAGCACACCTCTGCCAGCAAGAAAACAAACCTTTAATCAGATCAACTGTGACGTCATAAACTGTGGTTAATAATTTCTCCAGTCCTTTTAAAAAATTAAAGCCAAACTTCTTGCTGCTGCTTTAACAGTTTGCTGGGGCCCCTTTTAACCAGCAGCTGCCCAAAGTGGAAAGATTTCCCCTTCCCCCGTCCCGGTGCACCAAAAATGAAGAGTCTCATTCAACATGCTGCATGCTCCACCTGTCATGGGAATTGCTGCTTTCATCAGTCAACTGGTTTTTTGAGTTTTTTTTCCCCCAGCCCTCTCTCTTCACTCATAACTGGAAATGAAATCAGAGGGCAACGGAAAAAAACAACAACCAACCAATACTGACGCACTGAGACTTTATTGGAAAGTTTCATAACTGCCTATGCCCCGCCACGTTACGACACTCACACACACACACATTCACATACGCGCACACACACACACACAGCACAAACCTACTGTTTGCCTCAGAGGCTGTTTAAATTGAAAGCGCCTGATAAGCCACAAGAGTGAGAGTATTAAAAAAACAGAAAGAAAAATGAATACAGACTAAAAAGTAGAAGCTGGTGCTTTCATTTTGAGGAACTTCAGAGGTTAAATAGAGTGAACAAGAGGATTAACTATTTGGGATTTATTAATGTTTTTTAATTGAAATAACAGCTTCACAATCTGGGGCACGTCTAGTCTCAACAAAAGCCCCAGCTCAGTTATCTTCAAAGGGAAGAACATCCTGCTCTCTCTGACACTGTAATATTTATAAAAAGAACAGGAGTACTTGTGGCACCTTAGAGACTAACAAATAAGGTGCCACAAGTACTCCTGTTCTTTTTGCGGATACAGACTAACACGGCTGCTACTCTGAAACCTGTAATATTTATGAAAATGATGGTGGAAGATTCTAGCCAATGTTTGACTTGTTGCACCAAGATTCTGTTTCAAATCACAAATGTTTTCCTTATCAATTAAGTACTGACCGACCTTTGTAACGAGATTTCTAAAAAGAGAATAGCTTGTAATATAGCATCAGGTTGGACATGCATCAGGTGAGCATTACACAACACTTGGGGCCAGATTCATATTAGTAACGGATTACTCAGCAAACAGCCCAACTTAAACCAAAAGGACTACTCGCAGAGTAAGATACTATTCAGCATAACGGTATCAGAATTTGGACCTTCTTGTGGGATAAAATTGCACAGAACATTTATAATTATTTGTTTCATTTGTTTTTCTTGTATATGAAAGTCAGCTGCCTAGATCTGTGAATATATTTTGAGTATATGTAAGCTTGGAAAGATTTGATTTTTATTAGCAAATGTCAGTAAACATCAATTTCACCATACACACGCAAACTGATGAAAAAATATTTCCATCGATACTTATCAAATTGTACAGGAGAAAGAAAAATGCTACTTGAGAACTTAAGAGTTTGATTTAAGGATATTTACTTTGTGTATTTTGACATGCGATGTTGACAATCTGTGTTTTAATGGTTACAAACATTAACTTTTTGAATCTCAATGTCTACGGTCATTAAATAATTATTGCATGACCTGCCCTTTGTCTGATGCTCCCCCCATAATTTCCTACAACTGTAAACAATAAAAAGAGAAAAAATGCTTAAAAATAAACAGATATTATCCTTCAAATTCTGCCACGTCTAAGTATATGTATGTCCTTAATAACAAATTAATTAGAGGAGTGAAAACAGATTTTGAAATTCATAGACGCCTTATCTGAATCAATAATTTGTAAGCATTGTCAAAATCTGAATTTATTTATTTATTTATTACCTCTTCCCCCCCCCCACCCCACAGCCTGAAATTTGGCTCAGTTCTTTGCATATTGTTTGGGCGGGAGGGGGCGTTGATCAGATCACACAGGGGGGAAAAAAACACATTTTATCTTGGGCTAATATTAACAGTCAAGTGAAGACTGGGTTTAATTTTCTCTTGGCTCCCCCTCCCACCCAAAAACTTGAAGTATGGGAGATGGGCATCATAATGTATGAAATATGAAAAATCTAATAGATCTAAATCTAACCCACCTTTGTACAAAGACTTGGTTATTTCTACTCTGTTCCAAATGTTTAAACCCCTCAAACAAAACAAACAAACAACAATCCACTATGTATAAGGCAGCAAAGGGAAAACACACACAACAGTATATCACTGTATTCTAAACAATGAGATAGCTTCTACAGCATACAAATCAGTGACCTAAAACAGATACAGTAGAACCCTGTTTGTTCAAATAGGATGGACACTTAATTTAACTGGATGAACAAAGGGGGAAATTGGGGAACATAATTTGTATTAAGGAGAGTTTTTCTGGTGAGGTGGTTCAGCTAAGCAAGGATTTACTCTGTTTAATTAAATGACTAGCTGATAACCCCGTTAATCTGTGCTAATGTAATTCTGCCTTGTTTCGTTTCTAGTCTCCTGTGGAGGAAACATTTACTGCTTCTCACCTGTTGTGAACTTGATAGGTTTTACAAAATGTGGATTAAATCTTTCTTGAAATTTTAGTTCCTTCTCCTTTCTTGCCGGAACAGGAAAGCTTGCAACTACACATTGGTTATGCCTGTATATTAACAATTCTCTTAATGCAATGATCATTTTTAAACTCCTCTCTTAATTGCTCTTCTTCCTTTGAATGCTCCACTTGCTCACTTGAGTACTCTCAGTGCTTGTGGTATGTTTTCAACTGCCCATAGGAAGTGCTGCTGGGAAAAAAAAAAAGCAGCACACTAAACCTTGGAACCTTGCTAACAGAAGGAAAAAAGCTCTCTCATTCTGTCACTTCAAATTCCACATCAGTAGCTGAACTGCACTCACTTCTATCCAACAGTCTCAATAACTGGCCTCTGCTTTTGACTACTACATTCAAAGTCTGTGTTACACACAAAACAAACCACAAGGGATGAGAATCATTTCTACTTCCACTACAGTTTTCTCTGTTCCGTAGAAGTGGGCAGGGTTTGTTTACCCAATTTCTCCCTCCCACTAACGTGGAATCTATGCCTCCACCTGATCAAATGTTGATTTACAGATAAGCTACTTTGCTTTCAATGAAGATTGCCTACATTCATAACAACAGAAAGGTATTTAGAACTTACATTGCACCTTTCATTCACAGAGCTCAATCACTTTATAAGCATGAACTAAGGGCTTGTCTACCTGGTGAAACCAGAGTAGCTAGTGTGCTTTAAATTGGCCTCCTACTTTACTTCTCATTAACAGCCCCATGTAGACAAGTCCTAATTCAGCCTGAAACCACTGGGAATTAAGCAAAATTTATTATATCCATTTAAAATGAAGCATACAGGGAAAGCCCTAGACCACACAGTGAGCCAGAGCAGACTTGTGAATAGAACCCAAGAGTTCAAATTCCCAGCCCCAGATTCTAACCACTGGCTGCTAGGCCATGATGCTCAGAAAAGCATAGTGCTGCCTGGCGTAAGGGGCAAAGAGGAAAGAAGGGATGGTTAAGAGAGGGGGGAGGAGCAACAGTGCTCCCTGACTGACTTTGGCTGCATCTACTCTTAAACAGTGGTGTGTAGACTACAGGGACTACACATGTACTTTGCAAGGCTCTAGCAGCAGCGAAAGGGTCGTGCAGTGGGCAAACGCTTTGGCAGCAGGCCTTTCCCTGCTGCCAGGGACTTTCCCCACTGCTTCCACCCTGGCAGAGCCTTTCCTCACTGCTGGATCCTTTCTCTGCCATGCGGAAAGGCTCCGGCAGCAGGACACTACGCTGCTAAAAATAGCAGCACAGAGGTGGGAGGCACTGCCTGGCATGTAGAGAGCCACGCAGAGAAGCTCTCTGGGCATTCAGGTGTGTAGGACGCTTTACTCACCTAAGCCGTACCTCTCAGTCTATACTATTTATACACATGCTAGCTGGGTGTGCAGTGTCTCTACACTATATGCTGCTGTAAGTATAGGCATAACCTTTGAGAGATAAAAGCTGCCATTGCTCTGCAACCTCTTACTAAAAGAGCAGCCCTTAAACACCACTCACTTCAGAATAAAGGGTTTAAATAGCAGGGACTTTCTGAAGGCTTAAGTATTGCACAAGTTTTTGGGATGAGATCACCAAAAACAACTAGTGACACAGGAAAGGGAGGGGAGTTGCCATGGCTCCATAATGAATAATTAATGAATCTTAAATAAGGCACTTATATAGAGTCAAGCCCCCCAAGTACTTTACAGACATGAATTAATTCAATCCTAGCACACAGCCGTGAAGCAGATAAGTATTACTGTCCCTTTTTAACTCACATGGGACTGTAGCCTAAAAGTTAAATGACTTGACCAATACCACACAGTGAGATGGTAGCAGAGCAGGAACAGACCCTTTGAGTACAGTCTCCTATGCTAACTACTATACACAACAATGCCACTCAGCCATTCTTCAGGATCTGATCTTTGGAAACCTATTCTTCCCTCCTGGAGGACCCAATCAGTGACTATGCATGGGTGGATTCCACAGCTTGCACAAAACCCTAATGAAGTCAATGGGACTTGGTATGGGTGCAGGGGTCTATTCACAATGAGTCACTTGCAGGACCAGGATTTAAAAAGACCACAACTTTGATATAGAGTAATAAAAGTTATGTGAGTTTATTGAAGGGAGACTAGTCTCCCAATACACGTGGACAGTCCTAGGTGGTGTGCACTGTTGTTGCAGTCCAGTGCCAGGGCCCTGCATGGAAAATAGTTTAAAAAAAATAATTTAAGTAGAATCCTAAATTGTATCTATTCTTACTAGAATATGTTACTTTGAATGCTGTATTTTAATTATTATGGTATTGCCAATCCCAAGGATTCAAAAATCTTGAGTCAGGTTCCCCCCCTCCCCAAAAAATCATGAGATTAGTTTAAAAATAATAAATATTGGATTCTTTTTATTTGCCTTCTAGCTTTTGAGATTTTC